TGAAAGCCTCCAGGGGTGAAGCCCCCACAACTTCCAAAGGCAACTTCTGTTCTTTACAGATGAACAGAGTTGGAAGGGACTTTGGAGGTCATCTAGTCTAATCCCCCGCTCAAACAAAAGACCCTACCCCATTACTGACAGAAGGCAGTCCAGTCTCTTCTTGAAAGCCTCCAGGGGTGAAGCCCCCACAACTTCCAAAGGCAACTTCTGTTCTTTACAGATGAACAGAGATGGAAAGGACCTTGGAGGTCATCTAGTCCAACCCCTCAGTCAAGCAGGAGTCCCTACAGCATTTCTGACAGAGGGCAGTCCAGTCTCTTCTTGAAAGCCTCCAGGGGTGAAGCCCCCACAACTTCCAAAGCAACTTCTGTTCTTTACAGATGAATAGAGTTGGAAGGGACCTTGGAGGTCATCTAGTCCAACCCCTCAGTCAAGCAGGAGACCCTACAGCATTTCTGACAGAGGGCAGTCCAGTCTCTTCTTGAAAGCCTCCAGGGGTGAAGCCCCCACAACTTCCAAAGGCAACTTCTGTCCCATGGATTGATTTTTCTCAATGTCAGGAAATTCCTCCTTATTTCCAGGTTGAATCTCTCCTTGCTCCGTTCCATCCATTCTTCCTTCTCTGGCCTTCGGGTCCTTTGGAGAATAGCTTGACTTCCCTCTTCCTCTCTGGGGCAGCCCCTCAAATATTGGAAGATGCTCTCCTGTCTCCCCTGGTCCTTCTCTTCACAAGTGCTCAAGTTTCCAAACTAAAATCATTAAATGCTCAAGATCCTAAACAGAAGCCCCCAAAGAAACACGTGGATTCTTTGCAGAAAAAAAACCAATATTAAATAGCTAAATAAAATGGTTATGTCACTTTTTTTAGTGCCAATGTAATCCTGAATGATCATTAGATGAATGGTTTTAAATTGAGGATTACCTGTACTGTTATAAACATCGGGGGGGGGGGGCTGGGCAACAGAATAGAAATTGAACTGCTTGCCTCTAGAATGGAATAGAATAGAGGATGGGATGGGATGGGACAATATAGAATAGGATAGGATAGGATAGGATAGGATAGGATAGGATAGGAGAGGATAGGATAGGATAGAATAAATATAGGATGGGATGGGATATGATAGAAAATAAGTATGAATATAATGGAATAGAATAGAATAAATATAGAATGGAATAGAATAGAATAGGATAGATTAGGAAATGGAATAGGGTAGGATAGGATGGGATAGAAAATAAATAGGAATAGAATAGAATAGAATAGACTATAGAATAATAGAGTGGAGTAGAATAGAATAGAATAGAATAGAAAAGAAAAGAAAAGAAAAGAAAAGAATAGAGAAGTTGTGAGTGCTCCATCG